TTGGCAAGGTGATCAATTTTGCCATATTCTTCTTGCCCCAAAATTTAGAATTAAATTGTTTTGAAGGAACGAATTTGGATTTGATTGAGGAATATTCCTCCCCCTTATATTCGTTCGTTCATAGCAATTTAAGTTATGGTAAATATTTAAATAAAAGCTATTGTATTTACTTAATTAATATAACTTATTTTTATTAATATTTGTTAAATTGGCAAAGTATTGTATTGTAAAATAAAGATAAGTATGTTATTGATAAGTAACTATGACTTATGAGTTTATTTAATATACATAAATATGTTTTTAATTGAATATGAAAAAATGGAAATTAAAGTTTCTTTTATATATATATATATATAGTCTTTTCCGAGTATGCCGTCCGACGGAATGTTAAAGCTGCCATTTACAACGTGAAGAGTGTGCGGAATGAAAATGTCTGATACTACCAAATTTTTAGTTATTGTGCCCAAGGTTTGGACCGTTACTGGTGTTACGCCCGTGATATTAATAATCTTATTGCTGTTTATTGCGGACTTGCTTGTTAGGCTTGAAAATTTTATAAGCGAAATGTCTGCTTGAGAGTCTACTAAAAAAGTGCATTGTTTGTGAGTATCACTACAATTTATTTCAATGAAATCGGAATAGTTGAGATTTAGGCAGTAAATGGATTTTTCGTCTGTAAAAGTCGTCAGTTGTTTAAGTCTAGCTCCCCCAGTGTTCGCGCCTGAGGGGCCTCGGCGTTTAAAGTCCGAACATTGGCAGAATTTCGTGTATTTGAACGCGTATGATTGTTATTTCTACTGCTTGAAGCCTGACAACAGTAACAACAGTTACTATTATTGTAGTTATTTCGTCTATTACTGAAACTATTATTCCTATTCTGATTGTTGTTTCGATAGCTAGTATTGCCGCTGTGCCTATTTGAATTGCCGTTAAACATAAAATTGTTATTGTGATATCTGTAGTTATTGCTGCCTCTATAACCTCCTCGAAAATTATTTGCTCGTATGGGACGTGACCTAAAAGCCCACACCTGCCGCTCTTTTATTATATTGTCGTGCTCCACAATCATCTTCGCTACAACATCTTTTGAGTCGTTGAAGGTTGACTTTACCATATCTGAACGGCTGTTGAGCCTACAAACATTTATTGTTTGCTCGACTGCTATCTCGTGAGCTTTCGCTTGTGTCATCCCTTCAATAATAAGCGAACGCTCCAGGGAGTCTGCGAGCTCCTCTACCTGTTTCGCAAAATCTGAATAATTGTTGTTGTGCACTTTCAAAGCTGCAATTTTACCAGCGACAACTTTCGAGTTATCTGGTTTTATTTTGTTTGACAGCGCTTCTTTAATTTGATTAACTGAGCTTATTTGCGTTGGTAGGGACTCGCGAGCTTTACCTTCAAGTTAGGATTTCAAAAATGCAATAAATGTTGTAGTGAGGCTTTCGTCTGACAATTCTTCAATAAGGGTAATTTTATCAATAGAAGAGGCAAGTGATAGCGGGTCACAATTATAATTTTCCCTTATAATCGAGGCGCATAAACTTATAAATGATTTCTTTTGCTCAGGTGTTGCCATTTTTGCGTTGGTATTTTGAAAGAAGTTAATATTTGGTGAGCTAGTGGTTACGTAAGGAGGGTCGTCGAATCAAGGAACGACTCCTTTAATTCTATACACTTCAAGGGTGCCAGTTGAACGTGCGTCAGCAAATTCTTCGTCGGAATCTGCGTCCGAATACAAAACGTTTTCTGTAATTAATTCGTCAAAATCCTCTGTTACTTAAATTTTGCAACCAATTTTACAAAAACACTTAAGTAGCTTTTCTCTACACCGCGATAAACTTTCAATTAATGACTTTGGCTTAACCCTTTGTTCGAAATGCGAATTTACTAGTATTAAAATGTTGTTATAACTTTTTATTAAAGATTCTCTATATTCCTCTAGCTTGCCCTCTTTTGTAACACACACAACTTTGTAACACACGTTTTGTAACTTTTGCAAAATCAGTACGCAAATCTTTAAATGCAGTATCAAAATCTGGCATTTGACAAACCCGACGTAAGTGTTAAAAAAATTTTGATTTATTTAAATTATGGCAAACAGATGTTGGATTTTGTACGCAACTATAGGCACAGTAAAATTTTAACAATTGGCATTCGATCGGCATTAATTTTCGTTTTTAAGAAAAAAGTTGTGAACGTGGTAATCTGATAGCACGGCCTGGTTTATAAGAAAAACACGTATCGATGAGTTTGATTTTATATAAAATTTCAAAAAAAAAGTTTCCAGCACTCACTCGGCGAAGCACAGAAGAGAAAAAAAATGTTTGATAATATCAAAATTTTGAATTAAATGTTTTGGAAAAGTTTTCGTTAACCACTTTGCAAGGCACTGTTTACTAAAAATTTTAAATTGTAGTTTAATTTTAGGAAAAGTTGCGTGGCAACATTTTACACGCTAATATAATTCCAAAATGTAAGTGAAATGTTTTTTGTATTCAAAAATGTATGTACATAGGTCCGAAAAAGTTGAAGTTATAGAACACTTGAAAAAGGAAAGTTGGTTTGATACCAATAATTTGCACGCGACTGTAGTTCAGAAATTCCATTAGAAACAGTAACACAAGTATGTACATATGTATATAATAATGTATATATATTGACAATTTTAATTATGTAACTGTATAATAGTAAGTATGTACATAAGTATATATGTATAAGGAAACATTTTTTTGTTGTATTCAAATTTAGTGTTCAGTTGTATTTAATTTAAAAATGGTAAAAAGTAAATTACGTATGTATGTATGTTCATACTATCAGGTCCTACGAAGTCACCTTCCTGCGTACCGTTGCTCGTATTGCTTGCCATGTATTGCTGTGTTGTCATGTGAATATGTGTTGTCCTAGTTGTAGATGTTGTTTACCGCTTCGTGTCGCGCCTTGGCATAGCGACACTTGTAAATGGCGTGGCTTTAACGCCGTTATTACGGGTTGCGCTACTCTAGCGGTTTGCGTCGGTGGTACAGCACGTAACGCGTGGCGTGTATGCGATGCCGTTATGTCGTGCTTAAAACTGGTGGTACAGCACGGTCACAGTTTTAGTTTTTTTTTTGGTCTTATTGTTTTTTTCACCACTCTTGTGTTTTCCAATATTTTCTTTTAGTGTTTAATAGTTTCACAAATTCGGTACCACCGCTCTTTTTTTAGTTTGTCCGTTTTCCCCCGTCACTGTAAAGTTTTTTTTTCACATTTGGTACGACCGCTTTTTGTATTTTTTAATGTTTTTATATTTTTTTGTGATTTTTTGTTTTGTAATAATTTCCCGTTAACTATCACCGCCACCACATTTTTTTGATATCAGTTCATTTTTATTAGTATTTTATGTTTTTTCCCATAAGTATGTGTGTATTCATATGTATACTTCTTAAGTTAAGTTAAGTTTTTTAAATATATTTTTTTTTCGTGAGTTCTCTTTTTTTAATTTTTTTGTTACAGTTTTTGAAAGTTTTTTGTTTTTTTTTGAAATTTTTAATGTTTTTTTAAATTTTTGTAATAATTTTGCCGTAACCACCACCAAAAATCAAATTAAATTAAATTTTTATTTTCGATTTGTGTTTCTACACATTTTTAATTCAACATTTTTATTTTACTTTTTTTTTCTTCGGTTTTATAAATTTTTTTATAAATTTTTGGGATTTGCCCATTTTTCATGGCCGCGGGCCTCCATTTCGCCAGGTTGACCGCATGGGTCACGGTCGCCATGTGAAGTGGTATGTTCTACTTCCTTGAAAATTGGCACTCACTCCGTAAAGATGTGGAGCTCTAGCGCTCCGCCGGTTCTCTTGCCGGCCAACGCCCGGCCTGTACCTTATGCTGCTGCCTTCAAACCAATGGCGCTGCAGCTCTGCTGAACTGCTTCCCGCGGAGCCCTGGTACTCCGCCGGCTCTGTTGTCGGCCAAAGCTGGTAGTCAGCAAGCCTCCGGAAAATATATTTATTGAAATAAACTGGACTGCTCGATTTGAGGTAACGCGCAATAATGCCGCTAATTTTATTTTCACTCAAAGACTTAAAGTTAGCTGCTTTCGCCGATACAACAGGTGTGCATCAATATCGTAAATTCTTAGATATAATCTATTACCTTAGGCGAATTCATATAAGGTGATTTTTAGGGTTGCAACATGTATGCTTGATCGCATTACAAAGTTCAAATAACTCAATTTCTACCTCATTAAATACGACTTTACTCTTCATAAAATATTCATGTTAATAGGTAGCTCATACGCCATGGCATCCGAAAAACGTATGAGGCACCTCAACGGTGGTCCAGCACAAATATGGTTTAGATCCCATCATTGAATCATGAAGAAATGACCGGTTTTCCTAAACTTTTGAATGAGAATTGAAGTCGCATGATTTTTTTTCCTAAAAAATTACTCGTTTCAGATTGCTTTTAACAAAGCAAAGGCGGCCGGCGTAGCGTGTAACGTGTTTCGTAAAATAATTTCAGTGTCTTGTTGGTCGTTAATATAGAACCGTGGAATTGTATTTATTTTTGCCATAAAGCCTTTTCTCGTGAATTAAAATGTCAACTGAAATGAACTGTGTGTTTGGTTTCCTACGAAAAAATAAAAAAATGCAATTGCTTTCAAAATAAAACAATACCCATGGTTATGATATGTTTCTTTTGTAACAAAAAACAAAAAAAATTATATTTCCATCTCTTTATAAGCTGCTGTATGCATAATAGTAAATTCAATTGAATGCGGATCAAGCAGATGTAAGCCTACATAAGACTGGTTGCGAAAACAAATTTGCAATTAACCTCCTAGATTGAAAGAAAACTTTGAGAGGATATTATAGCCATTAAAATTTTCGTCCAAATCGAGTTTTCTTCTTAATTATTTTCGTTATTACTCACTTATGTATGTAAAAAGTTGTGGAACAAATATTGTTAATGAAACGGTATTCTGCCGAAATCCGCAATAAAATATGCGTTGCGATAACTTTAGTCCTGCAATTGCCACGCCCATTTCTAGGGGTTTGTCGCCTTAAAGAAAAATCTTGCCGTACAAATATTATATCTGGGTAGATATTCTATCGAAATCCGCAATAAAATTTTACTTTTTGCAAAAACCCGATGTTTGTTACCTTATTAAATATATCTCAACATAAGGTTTCGAAAACAAATGACAAAAATTTTTGATTCTCACAAAATAAACCATCTCGTCACAAAGAAAAATATTTGAAAAATAGTTTTTCAAAAATGCCAATTTTTTTGAACCACGTTTTTTAATAAGAATTAAACAAACGTTATTGAGTTTTACGGGCGGGCAGGTTTTACGTTTAAGGGAGAACGTATCCTGGACAGACTTTGTTTCATTTGGCTTAATTCGCCAATCTTTCAGCCATTGTGTTATTTTGTTGAGGCCATTTTGGAGTAGAACCGAGGCAAGTTTTGGAAGGGTGTCCATTGCGAGAATTGCAGTATCATCTGCAAATGTATCAACAATTGCTAGTTCGGATGCTGGTAAATCATATGTGTATAACACCATACATATATGTATATACACCAGCTGAACTATCGTAGAGTTCAGACTGCTCCTCGCCTTGCTTAACAAAGAAAAATAGATTTTTGAGATAGGACTCGATAAAGATATAATAGTTTATCAAGAGGGTACTCTTTATTTTGTAAAGTAAGCCATCATGCCATACTCGATCGAAAGCTTGAGATATATCGAGGAATGCAGCTGTACAATACTTTTTGTGTTCGAATGCAGTGTGAATTCAGTTTACAAGCCTGTGAACTTGTTCGATTGTGCTGGGTTTTTTCCTAAAACCGAATTGGTGATTAGGGATAATCTTTCTTTGTTCTATTACTGGCATCAATCTTTTGAGAAAAAGAGTCTCCAGAATTTTACAGGCGATGGGTAGCAAACTGATTGGGCGATATGAATCAACTCTGTCTGCACTTTTTCCTGGTTTAGGAATAATTTTTACCTGGGAAACTTTCCATTGAGGTGGAACGAAACCAGATGAGAGAATTGCGTTATAAATATAAGTCAGGAAAGTGATTCCTTCTTCCGGGAGCTGTTTTAATATTTCTCCAGTGAATAGATCGTAACCGGGAGCCTTCTTAGCTTTGAGTTTTTTTATCGCTTCCTTAATTTCAGCTTTTGAGAATTTTTTAATGGGTGGGTCCATTTGGTAGGGTTGTTCGAGAGTCTGTCTTACTTTTTGTGCAGTATTGGGAGAGGGTTCAATTTCATGCGGAGCAAACACATTTTTTTAGGTGACGTGCAAATGTGCTTGCTTTGTCGAGATCACTTTTAGCCCATTGGTTGTTTTCCATTCTGATAGCGGGTTGTGCCAGAGTTGGCCTCTTTAATTTTGTTGCTGCTTTCCAGAGGGAATAATCGCTGGCAGCTGTTGCATCTAAGTTACTGAGATAATGATGAAGTTGGGAATTGCGTTCTTTTTGCAAGAGTTCTTTGAGCTCCCTCATTAGCGTATTAAATCTTCTTTTGTCTTCGGGATGTCTAGTCTGCTGCCACTTCTTTCTAGCCTGGCGTTTCTTGGTCAGTTTTTCTTTTACAAGAGAAGGGATTCTTGTGTACTGTGATTTGCTTAGAATGGGTGTTGATCTCCAAGCAGCTTGTTGGATGCAGTTATTGAAGTGTTGAACAGCTGCAATGATATCTTCGCTAGATTTCAGCGAGTGTTTCAAATTTAGTTTTGAAGATATTAAGCTTTGGAAGAGATTCCAGTCAGTTCTGTTTTTGTGAAGGTAACACTGAGAAATTGAGTCAACAAAATTATTGCTTAGAGTGACCATTACGGGAGAATGGTCTGAGGATAAATCGAAACAGGGATTACATATTATTTCATTATCTCCAATACCTTTAAACACGCAAAAGTCTATTAAGTCTGGATTTTTTTTGTATCGGTTGGCCAATACGTTGGAGAGCCTGAGGAGGCTGAGTGAAGATTTAATCTTGCCATAGCCGCAAAGAGTTGTCGGCCTTTAGGAGTGATGAGGCGAGATCCCCATTAGCATTCCACAGGAGAATATTCATGGAATTGTTACTGGACTTCGTCGTAAGGGTGACGAGGAGATTCATCATAGTTGTGATTTGTTGCATGACTTGCTTGAGAAGCATTATCATTTCTCGCATTTCGCTTGAGGCATCAGAGGCGTTTTCTTTTGATTGAGGGAGTGAGTTACTTGGACTCGGATATTGTTTGCTTTTCAACATTTGGGAGTAAGAAAGTAAATTTCGGGGCGGTTGCGAGACTCGAATGGGTGAAAGTGGAGCTGATTGCTGCTGGCTGACACTTTTGGGATTGTTGTGCTCCATTCTTCTTAATGGTGGGTATTTGAGTTTCTGCAGATTTTTGTACACCATGCATCCTTTATAGTTTGCTGGATGATTTCCTTCGCATAGAGCACATTTAACATCGTTGGATTTTGTCTTGCGCGAGCAATCTGCAGACAAGTGGGGGCCAGCGCATTTAATACATACCGGTATTCTACGGCAGTATGATTTTGTGTGTCCATACTGTTGGCAGTTAGCGCATTGCGGGATTTCGCGTTTTGGGCGTGGGGGTTCAAATACAATTTTTGTGTTAAAGAGATATTTGATTTCGTATATTTCCTTATTATTAGGGTTTGCTTTTAGCTCTACAATGAACATTGGTAGCGGGTTTTTCGTGTTTCTGTGTTTCATATTGTAAATGTTAATAGGGATATGACCGAGATTTTGTAGGGCTTCAGCGATTTCTTCGGTGCCAATAG